CAAGACCTTTCTTGTTTAATTACTTATTTATTTTATTTTATTTTTATTTTTTGAGATGGAGTTTCGCACTTGTTGCCCAGGCTGCAGTGCAATGGCACACTCTCTGCTCACTGCGACATCTGCCTCCCAGGTTCAAGCAATTCTCTTGCCTCAGTCTCCCAAGTAGCTGAGATTACAGGCATGCGCCACCACACCTGGCTAATTTTGTATTTTTAGTAGAGACGAGGTTTCTCCATGTGGTGAGGCTGGTCTCGAACTCCTGATGTGAGGTGATCCACCCGCCTCGGCCTCCCAAAGTGCCGGGATTACAGGCATGAGCCACCGTGCCTAGCCAGGTTACTTATTTCTTTTCTTTTTTTTTTTTTGAGACAGAGTCTCGCTCTGTCGCCCAGGCTGGAGTGCAGTGGCTGGATCTCAGCTCACTGCAAGCTCCGCCTCCTGGGTTTACGCCATTCTCCTGCCTCAGCCTTCCGAGTAGCTGGGACTACAGGCGCCCGCCACCTCGCCCGGCTAGTTTTTTGTATTCTTTTAGTAGAGATAGGGTTTCACTGTGCTAGCCAGGATGGTCTCGATCTCCTGACCTCGTGATTCGCCTGTCTTGGCCTCCCAAAGTGCTGGGATTACAGGCTCGAGCCACTACGCCCGGCCTAAAATTTTTAATAATATTTAGCTCAATACACCCAAAATGTTATCATTTCAACATGTAATCAATATGAGATATGTTACATTCTTCTTTTTCTTCTTTTTTGAGACAGAGTCTCATTCTGTTGCCCAGGCTAGAGTGCAGTGGCTCGATCTCGGCTCACTGCAATCTCTGCCTCAGGTGTTCAATGATTCTCCTGCCTCAGCCTCCTGAGTAGCTGGGATTACAGGCATGCGTCACCACGCCCACTAATTTTTGTATTTTTAGTAGAGACAAGGTTTCACCACATTGGCCAGGCTGGTCTCAAACTCCTGACCTGAAGTGATCCACCTGCCTTGGCCTCCCAAAGTGTTGGGATTACAGACATGAACCACCATGCCCGGCCCACATTCTTTTTTTGTACTTCAAAATCCAGTATGTATTTTGCTGTTATAGCATGTTTCAGTTTGGATGGTAAATTTTCATTATAAACACTTAATCTGTATTTAGATTTCATAAAATGCACAGTTGAAAAAGTAGATTCATATACCTAAGTTGTTCCAAGCATACTTAAAAGTTTTCTAATAATCAAATATCAAAAAAGTATTTTTCTTTAATGTTTGTATGCAAACTGACAAAACTACTTCATAATAGTCATATTAGTCATATTTATTTTAGCAGAATTGACTTGACTTTGAAGCAAAAACATATCAGTTTTAAAACTACATCTGTCCAAGTTAAGTGAATTCACTAACTCTTGTGTCAACTCAGTATTATTAACATGAAATTCAAAGAGGTATTGTATAAATTGAAAAAGCAACTCTAAATTTATTAATATCGACAAAAAGCAACTCTAAATCTATTAATATCAACAAAGCATTCTTTAAACTTTTCTTGTTTATGTAGCCAATTTACATAATTCTGTTTATTACAATTAGAATCTTCTGCATACTTAGGTTGAAATAATGTGTATTGATTTGTATTGTGAAAGGTTTCAATTTGAGCATAAATTCTTGCAACTGTCTAGATAAGTCAGAGATGTTTTCTTTCCTCGAAGCCTAAATGTATTTATTTATTTACTTATAGACAGAGTCTCATTCTGTTGCCCAGGCTCTAGTGCAGTGGTGCAATCTCGGTTCACTGCAACTGCTGCCTCCCTAGTTCAAGCAATTCTTTTGTCTCAGCTTCCTGAGTATCTGGAATTACAGGCATGCACCACTATGCCCAGCTAATTTTTGTATTTTTAGTAGAGATGGGGTTTCACCATGTTGGCCAGGCTGGTCTTGAACTCTTGACCTCAAGTGATCCACCTGCCTCAGCCTCCCAAAGTGCTGGGAATACCGGGCTAAAACATTTCGACTTCTATCCTTCATATCTCTTTTTTAAAATTGTCAATTAAATATAAACGTACTCTCCTCCATATCTGTTAGCTTTTCTTTTATGTTTTCTATTTCTTTGCCCTCTTTTTTTTTTTTCTGGGAGATATTCTCTCTTTTGTTTTTCAATTCCCTAATTTGTTTCCCAGCTATATCTATTCTGCCACTTTTCAAATCTATCGTGTGCTCTATTTTGGTGATTACTTTTTCATACATAAGATCTCTGCCTTTTTTTTTTTTTTTTTTTTTTTTTTTTTTTTTTTTTTTGAGACAGAGTCTTGCTCTGTCCCCAGGCTGGACTGCAGTGGCGCTCTCTCAGCTCACAGCAAGTGCCGCCTCCTGGATTCACGCTATTCTCCAGCCTCAGCCTCCCGAGTAGCTGGTACTACAGGTGCCTGCCAACACTTGCCTGGATAATTTTTTGTATTTTTAGTAGAAACAGGGTTTCACTGTGTTAGCCAGGATGGTTTGATCTCCTGACTTCGTGATCCGCCCGCCTCGGCCTCCCAAAGTGCTAGGATTACAGGCATGAGCCACCACACCCGGCCTGCTTGTTTTTTAAAAATATTTTTTCTTATTTCATCTATTATACTTTTTATAGTTGATACTCTGTTTGTTCTTTACATTTTCTTGTCCAGGTATCATATTAGTAATATTTTCCTTCATCTCTTTTAGCATGATTTTTGGGCTACTTTAAAAATCTTGGTCCATCTGTTGTCATATTTCCACTTAAGTTACACTGTGTAATCAAGTAAGTTGTATCCTTTCGGATTAGTTGTGCTATTCAGGTGTCTTGTTATTTTGTCCTTGGCCATATAGGTTGTTCTGTCCAACAATGCATACTAGTGCCATTGAGCTTAGAGGTTGAAGGCTGGGGTGAATGAGCCCTCCCTAAAACTGAGAACCCTTGGCCCCCAAACTCCCAAGTCCGTCAGGCCCGGCCTCATAAAATAACTCTTCACGTCAGGGCTTCGCCCTTTGCCCTCCCGCCTGGGAAAAGCAGCCTTAGGAGTACAGGTGTGAGCCACCGCATCTGTGGCCGAAATGCTTCTTAGATTGTAGTTCACCTGCCCTGGACATTTAGAGGGCTAAGGAGGGGGAACATCTGTCTAAAGTTGGGTTGCCCCCTTACTTGTTTTGATCACAAGCACAGTGCATCTCCAGTGCTTTGCTGTTACTCTTACCAACACCTGGACCACATGGCAAGTGAGGGAGTAGCACTGTTTGTTATAAGACAGTGGTGGAGGAAAAGAGAGATCAGAACCCTGAGAGCTCTTTTTCTTTTTCTTTTTCTTTTTTTTTTTTTTTTTTTTTTGAGACGGAGTCTTGCTCTGTCGCCCAGGCTGGAGTGCAGTGGCTGGATCTCAGCTCACTGCAAGCTCCGCCTCCTGGGTTTACGCCATTCTCCTGCCTCAGCCTCCCAAGTAGCTGGGACTACAGGCGTCCACCACCTCGCCCGGCTAGTTTTTTGTATTTTTAGTAGAGACGGGGTTTCACCGTATTAGCCAGGATGGTCTCCATCTCCTGACCTCGTGATCCGCCCGTCTCAGCCTCCCAAAGTGCTGGGATTACAGGCTTGATCTTTTTCTTTTTTTAATCATTCCACAGCTGTGCCTGGTCACTTCCTGCCTGTAATCAAAGCCACCCTTCTACCATACCCACACCAATTTGAAACAAGGCCCTCTCCTTCACCCAAGGGGTTTCTCGAGGTTTTCTTCATTTCTTGGTATTTTCTCTTTGTAACTCTTGTGCGGGTGATCTTGGGATAGGGAGCCACAGTCACAGCAGTTCAATCAGGATCCAAGCTTAAAGATCTTGAGTAGCTGCTTTGTGCTAGACACTGTTCTCTGTGTGCCACTTGTATTAACTCATTTAATCCTCACAACTATGATGTCGTTATAACAGCCACATTTTACAGATGAGAATACTGAGGCATAAGGAAGTTAAAAAATAGCCAGGTGTGGTAGTGCACACCTTTAGTCCCAGCTACTTGGGAGATTAAGGCGGGAGAATCACTTGAACCAGGGAAATGGAGGCTGCAATGAACTATGTTTCACCACTGCACTCCAGCCTGGATGACAAAGTGAGACCCTGTCTCAAAAAAAAAAAAAAAAAAAAAAAGTTGACTAATTAAGCCAGGACTCTAAACCAGGCAGTCTGATTCATGAGTCAGCTTTCTTACCCTCTGCCTTGCAGTAAAAGCCAAATTACCCAGTACTCTCTACAGGGACGATTGACATAGTGTTGGCCAGGGTATTGCCCTGTGATGTCCAGACTTATGAGACATTGGTCAGAGGAGAGAGAGAGAGGGTGACAGGAACAAGGCATTAACAGCCAGGCTAGCTGTCAGCAGCATTTCCCAGGCAGGAGACTCTAATGGATCTCTCTCTGAGCAGGACACAGGCAGGCTCTGTGTGGTTAGAGATGAAGGGAGGAGGAGGAGTGAGTGTTTGTGAGCTCAGCCCAAATGAGGGCTGATGTCACTTCTCCTTTGTGCATTTGTGTCTGAATTTGACATGTGATGTAAACCGGTAGGTGTTAAATTCTGTCTTGTGTTTTCAATCTGCTGAATTGGAAGTCCCACATGGGAGCATTTGGGTGAGCCTCATCAACGCTGGCTCAGAAACCACCAGATGCTTCCCAGAGAAAGTTATTTGTCTGCCAGTACCCACTGCCATATTTGCCTCTTCACACTACTACATCTCCTTCTTTCCTTGGCTCTGATGGGTCAACAGATATTGTAGGGCAAGTCTGTGTCATAGGCCCTGGGAAGGATACTCTCTCGATTGGTAAGATTTGAAGGTGAAAGTCACTGGCCATGAAACAGAATGAAGACCATAAGAAGATGGAAACTCGGACTCCAGTTACTGGGCTCTCATGAAGCGCGGCGTCATGAATTTTAGTAAAAACAAGGCCAGGGGTTGCTGTGTTGCTTCTTCATGCATGGCTCTTTGCCTGAAACCACAGCTCTCCTCCAGTTGTTTCTGAAGCGTCAGGCACTTTTTTCACTGGGGCTGCTGAAAACGAATCCGAAACTGATTTGAGGAGCGTCTTCTCCCCTGCTGGGGCCCCTGTGCCTAAGGTTTCAGGTGGTTGGGCATGCCTTCTCTGAGTGTTCGCCGTCAGACAGGCCGCCTGGCCCTAGAGACCTGCCACATGCCTTCTGAGCCACAAATATTTCACACCGTGAGTTCCCAGTGGCTGCCCTTCCCCCACTTCCATTCCTTTCCACCTCTTCGTCGTTCCTAATCCCACACCTTAATATCCCTTTAGCCACTGTCATCTTACCTTGTCCCTTTCTCATGTGGACCTCTCTCTGGAAGTTCCAAATCTGGGAAGCCTGAATGCAGCTCTAGCTTCAACCTGCTGGGCAAAGGAAAGTGAAATGAATCTCTTTGAATGTTTCCTACATGGCAGAGGTTGTTTGTAGTGCCCTACTCACGCTATTTCATACAAATCTCATGACAATTTGAAAAGGAAATGTTTACCCTCGAAGGTCCTGAGGCCACTCAGGCCTAGATTAGAAAGTGGCAAAACCAGGCTTCAGACCCACCACTGCGTACCTCCAGAGTCCACAGTCTTTGCGTGATTTTGGATGCCTCCGGAGCCCCATTCGGCTTTCCCAGCTTTCTAACCTCATAGCTCTGTTCCCATGCAGACTTGACATTTTGCTTCTTAGACTTTAGAAAAGAAAGATGGTGGCGGGGGTGGGGGGGGGAAGAAAGGAAAGGAGGAAAAGAAAAGAACAACCTTCCAGCTTTTTCTTCTGAGGATCATACATCTTTGTAGAATAACTACAACAATAACATAATAACAACTTGTTGCGTGTGCGTGTTTTAACTGGAAGGGGGCATGTGCCATTCAGTGATTATTTTAAAAAAAATGAAGCCATGTAACCATTAGAAAATGATACTGTTTTACACACTGGGAGTGGTGACTGAAGTGATGGTGGTGGAAGGAGCTCCAAGGCCTGGCCTTTCTATGTCCCTTGCAGCCAGAAGCATGTCATGTATAAAGCAAGATAGCAAGATTTCTAGTCTCAGGATTCTGTTGAACATGGTTTGAAAGCCTCCTGATTATTTTTCCTTTTAAAATAAGCAAGCTGAGGCCCAGAGAGGGAAAGTGGCTGGCAAAGTCAGGACTAGTGCCTGGGTCTCCCAGCTTCTATCCCGCAGCTTGTTACAGAAATCCCAGTTTGCGTATTTTTGCACAGACTCCACAGGATGCAGTCCAGGAAGGGATGCAGGCGGAGGTGGAGAAGGAGGAGGGCCTGGGTTTCCACTTCTTCTCCTTCCCCATCACCAACAACCTGAACTCCCAACCCCCGTGGGGAATGGGGTAGGTCAGGGAGAGGACTGACAGGGATTATAGAAAGTGCGATCGAGGGTACAAGAGATCAAGTTTGGTAGCCGACAAGGAAGAGAGGTGAGGCAGAAGATGAGGGGAGGAGGTGAGGTAAACAGAGCAAAGGAGCCGCCTTCCCAGCTCAGGACCAGGGCTGGGCTTGAGTCTGGGCCCTGGTCTCGTTCTAATATCCCCTTGAGCAAGTCCTGGCACTTTTTCCTGCCTGTTTCCTTTGAGGGCTTCTCTGTCACCACCAGTAAGCGTGTACAGGCTACAGGAGAAGCAGTGAAGAGCAGTGTGCTACAGAGAACACTGCACCCCAGGAAACAGAATTAGTTGGACCAGCTCTGCCTGTAAGTAGCTGAATGTCTTGAGGCAACTTAAACATTTCCTTGGACCTTAGATTCCTTGCCTGTAAAACAGGATGGGGCCAGATGATCTCTAAGGGTCCTTCTGGCTCTGAAAGCAATGATCTGGGGGATGGAACCTGTGGTTAGAGAGCTGGGGAATGGGCAGATGTGGGTTCCAGGGCACCCAGAATTGCAGGCTTAGGAGCTAACAGCAACCAGGCGTTCTGTGGTCTAGCAATCTTGCTTTATAGTTGAGGAAACTGGGCCTAGAAAGGCAAGTGATTTTTTGCTTCTCTCACCTTTATTCCTCTTTTCCCCTGAACGGTAGAGTCTGAAGGTTCAGGGCAAAGCAGTTTTGTGTAGTGGATACATACGCTTTTTTGTTGTTATTTTTCTGAATTATTTTGTTGACTTTCTAAGTTTTTTTTACATAAACAGTAAATGCTTGTTATAAAAATTTCCATTAATACAGGAAGTGAAAAAAGTAAAGAACTGCAAATTGCTGTTATCCTCCCACCCTTACCCCTTAGGTCCCCAGAGGTGTCTCTGTTAACGGTTCAGTGTGTATCCATCCTGATCTTTCCAATGAATGCGCAAACTTGTATGCCTCTCCCCCATAACTGGATTATCATATACATTATTCTAGCATAGACTTTAGAATCAGACATATCTAGAGTCTAATCGCAGCTTATAGCTAATTATTTGAGTGACCTTGCCCAAGTTATTCAACCAGTTTTAGTCTCAATCTCGCCAGGTGTAAAATGAAAATAATAGTAGTATCTACCTGGACTGGCTTGGCGGCTCATGCCTGTAATCCCGGCGCTTTGGAAGGCCGAGCCTGGTGGATCCCTTGAGCTCAGGAGTTCAAGACTAACCTGGGCAATTTAGCAAGACCTCATCTCTAACTAAAACAAAAAAACAAAACACAAAAAAACTCCCCCAAAATTAGCCAGGTGTGGTGGTGTGCGCCTATAGTACCAGCTACTTGGAAGGCTGAGGTGGGAGAATCGCTTGAGCCAGGAAAGACGAGGCTGCAGTGAAATGTGATTGTGCCACTGCACTCCAACCTGAGCAACAGACCAATACCTTGTTTCTGTTAAAGCAAACAAACAAAACAGTATCTACCTTATAGGACTGTGGTGAAGATTTAATGACATTTTATATGAATAGCACTTAACAGTTCCTGGTACTGATAGTAGTAAGCACTACACACACACACATACACACACACACACACACACACACACAGAGCACAGAATATGTTAGGGGTAGAGTGAAAAGTAGACCCCAAGTTTTCTGACCCTCAATCTCCTCGACTTTCTACCACGTCTGTCTGCTTCTCTCCTAGGTGCCTAGGTGTGGGTTAAGTGCTCACTACTTGTTGAATGAATGATTGAGGTTGTGTGTAAGGGGGTAGATCCAGGGATCTGAGGTCTGTGGAGTTCCTGGGATGCCTGCTCTGGAAAATGGAGGCTTTCACTCTGTGAGTTGGGAGGGTGTGGGCAGTGTGGGTTGGCTGGACCAGCTGTTACTTCAGAGCTCCACGCCTGGAGAGTTGGGCCTCTAGGCAGAGCTGAGGGCCCAGAGTGGCTCTCAGCTTAAAGGATCTTGGCTTAGAAGGAATGTGCAGTGGGCTGCCTCTGCTCAGGAGGGGCTAAAAAAAGCCTCACCCTCCCCTGGGCTTTGTGTGAGGGTTATCAACTGCTCAAGTCAGCTCATCTCTCCGGCTGCTCTGGCATATTTGAGAAGGTCTGTTTCCCTGGTCCTTGTGGGTTTCCACCAATTGGCAGGAAGGGATCAGCCTGTCCTAGAGGTGAAGAGAGAGGTGTGGCGTGAAGGGGAGGGGGCTGGTGGCCCCAAACCTGGTGACAATACACAGTTGTCAGCTGTACCCTGCTGGCGTTTCTTCCTTTTATAGTCAGCAGCAGTTGCTCTTGCTCTCACCCAGCCCCTCTGTGGGGGCTCCTGCCCAGGATAAAAGGGAAGGGAGGCGGCCCAGGCTCCTATCTCATCTCCCAGACGCCACGTCTCTTGGTTTCTTCTTAGATCACTCCTCTGCCGAAGATCCCAACAAGACAACATGGCTCCCAAGAAGCCTGAGCCTAAGAAGGAGGCGGCCAAGCCAGCTCCAGCTCCAGCCCCTGCACCAGCCCCTGCCCCAGCTCCTGAGGCTCCCAAGGAACCTGCCTTTGACCCCAAGAGTGTAAAGGTAAGTGAGGCTCAGCCATTGGGATACAGGTGGGGATGACATTCAGAGTCCTTTTGCTCTGGAGCTTAGAGATCTACTTTATGTGGAGCGGACTGGGATGAGGACTAGGTGTCCCCAGACTGCAGTCCCATGGGGCAGTGGAGCGGGTGTTGGGGTTGATTGATGAGGGAGAGATAGGGTCATAAACCTTTTCCATCAAGAATGAGGTGCTGCTTTGAGGGAGCCCTGTCCTGCTACCCTAGATTTGTGCAGCTAGTTGGGAATGGAGAGAGATACAACCAACCATTCATCCACCCTTTTATAAGGCATTATGAGGACCACCATAGCAAAGTAAAAGAGACTAGCCTTTTCCTAGGAGGTAGTGGGATATCTTTATGGAGAACAGACACAGGGGAGCTGCCAGTGTAACTTGGAGTAAGTGATATAAACAGTCAGGGAATATCCTCCCTGTGCACGGCAGTTTGGGAAAGGCTTCACTCACAAACACTCTTATGGCAGGTGAGGGCAGGGTGGGAAGGAGGTTGTGGTTAAGGTAAGAGGAGCTTGGATTCCTGTCTTCTCTTTCCTTACCCAGACAGGCCTTTCCTTCTGTGGCCTTAGCCTGGGTTCCTATCTGTAGCATGCAGAGGACTGGCCCACCTGGGGCTGAGACCCTCTCTCCAACCGGATCAGGAAGTGGGCCTGGTTCCTTTGTCCCACCCTGCTCTCCTCACAGAAAACATTCCTCTCCCTGGAGCTGGTGTGGGCCCTGCCTGCTGACTCAGTCATGTTAGACCTCCCAGCTCTCTGGCCCAGCTGCTGAAGGAATGGAACTGGTGGGAGAGGGGCGGGCTGAAGAGAGAGGGGGCCAGAGACCTCTGGAGAGGAGCAGTTTTAAGCTTTGGCACCAGAATGGAAGAGGTCAAGTGGCTACTGGTATGAAGAGCTATTAATAACAGGTTGGGAGTGCTGAACCCCCAGGGATCTCAGCCTCAGGACAGGGCTGGGGGTGGTGAGGTATCAGGTCAAAATAAGAGCACAGGACCAGGTTCCGTGACAAGCAGGCAGGGAAATTAAAACCCAGAGCTCTAGTTGTATGACCTCCCTGCCCTCTGAGAATTCCTCTCATACCCACAGCCGGGATAACCCTACAATTATTATGCCAAAGACCCAGTCCCCACAAGGGGCAGGAGTTAAGGTGGAACTGCTTAGCCAAGAGATGGAGGCAATTGCCCCATTTCTGAACTTGGTTATGGCTCACTCTGGGGAAACTGAGGCTCCTGTAGGACCCCGAAAACACCTGCAGGTTTTCTAGGTCATACATCACTCCCTCTACAAGCTGAGCCTGGCAGGAAAAGCTATTTCCCCCTTCATGATCCCTCCTCGCCTTCATTTCTGATTTGTTCCCATAAAGCACTGTGCCTTTGGGTGGGTTGCCAGGCCTGGTCCCTGGTGTCTGGGCAACAACTGCCTAGTGGCATCAAACTGGTGTCCTTCCCTTGGTCTGTCACTTCTTTCATTCACTCTCCTCTCTCAATTTCTCACCCATGAGAAATTGCACCCCTGGTTGCAATCCTCTTTTCCATGTCTGCATCTTCATGGGCGTTGTTGGGGGTTGTTGAAGTTGCTTTGAAGTAGAAAAAAAAAAAAAAGGTATCTTTATGAGAGCCATTTTCCCTATTATTGTGTTATACTTACCCAGTTCCTTTGATTAGAAGGTTCTTTCCTCCAAGATAGAGCAGAAGCCAGGTAAGGTGACTCATGTTTATAATCCCAACCCTTTGGGAGGCCGAGGCGGGAGGGTCATTTGAGGCCAGGCATTTGAGTCCAGGCCGGGCAACATGGCAAGATCCTTGTCTCTACAAATAAATAAGTAAATTATAAAAAAGATTCGAAGATAGAACAGAAGCAAACTTAACCCCAATGTGTGTAGTTATGACCACATCTATTGAGATTTTATGTTTTTACATTAATTGCTCTTACATGTTTATTCCTGGTACTTAAAGCATTGCAAAGTAAGGCAAACTGTGCCTTTCCTCAGAGAGTGAATGCAGAGCATCCTTCACCCCATCTAGGGGGTTCCTTTAACTTTCTGACCACCCCCCACTTTTGGCAAAGTCTATTCCTGGCCACAGCTAGTTTTTTTTCCAACCCGGTTAACTCCCCACTGCCCCAACCCATCCCCAGCTCATGGCTGCCACCTCTGGGTCCTCATGAATGGAGGTCAGTTCTTGCAGATGAGGAGATGGGATGGGCACAGCACAAGCAGCAGCAGAATTAGTACTAGGAATGATGGCACTTGAAGAAGAGGCTCCAGGATTGGAAGCACCACCAGTGGAGAGGGGATGGGATGGGATGGGGTGGGGTGGGGTGCATAAGGACCAAGAGGTAACATACAAGATCTTAAATCAAAATGGTGACTTGGGCTGGGTGCGGTGGGTCATGCCTGTAATCTCAGCACTTTGGGAGGTGGAGGCAGGTGGATCATGTGAGGTCAGGAGTTCGAGGCCAGCCTGGCCAACGTGGTGAAACCCGGTCTCTACTAAAAATACGAAAATTAGCTGGGCGTTGTGGTGGGCGCCTGTAATCCCAGCTACTGAGGCAGGAGAATTGCTTGAACCTGGGAGGCAGAGGTGGCAGTGAGCCAGGATTGCACCATTGCACTCCAGCCTGGGTGACAAGTGTGAAACTCTCTCTCAAAAAATAAGAATAAAAAAATAAAATAAAATGAAATGATGACTTACACTTGGCCATTGTCATTCACTCTCCTCTTCTGTACTCAGCTTTAAATTATTTTGCATTATGAGGGGGAAGTCCAAAATGTATTACTTCCTGCAACAAATACTTTTTCAGTGCTTACTATGTACTGAGCATTTCAGTGAACAATAACAAGAATCCTTGCCTGAGGGAACAGTGGCTTCAAGGAGACAGAGTGCACATAAAGGCATGACTGGAAACAATTAGGAAGCGTGGAGGGCCCATGCTAATTACTCTTGCTGTCCCAGAGTGCCTCAGAGTGTGTCAGAAGGCAAAATGACAACACATTTAGTTTTAAGATCTGAATTGGCTTTTATGTTTGAGTCTAGAATCTGGTAACAACGAGCCAAGCAGAGGAAGTGGTATTATAGACAGAGAAGGGCAGAGGCAAGCAGAAACGAAGAGCAAAATGCAAATTGGTCATTGCAAAGTTACTTTTCTTGTAAACGTTAAAGCAGATGGCACTTTCTTATCACGCTGGCTGAAACTGTCCTGTTTGGGGATCTGGCTATTATCTCTCACTTTCCTGATTTCTTGGAGAATCAGATCAACAACTTAGTTTCAGCTTGGTGATATGGAACTTCAGTATGAGTGAATCTATTTTGGTTTGGTCTATTGGGCCTAGTGTAGGAGCTCAGTACAAACCAACAGCCTCTTATAAATTGTACTTAACTAGGGACGTGTGCGGAAGGAGGGGTTGGAGTGGGATGGGGTGTGGGAAGCCTTCATCGAAGGGAGTGTATTTCAAATCAGAATCAGATAGAAAGAGGAGTCAAAGGGTGGGGAGTGGTGGTGCCCAAAGAGGGCAGAAGTGCAGCTTGTCAGAGGACTATGGACTAGGAAGAGATTGAAGGGGCAACAGGGAGGGCAGTTTGTGGGTGGCTAGGATGAAGAATTTACCTTTGACCCAAAGGCATTGCAATAGGGAGTCCGTGTAGGTTCTACAATTATCTAGGGAATTTTTCTTTCCCTTTCCCTCTTACCTGGAACCATCACTTAATAAGTGGTATTGAGAGAACTTTGGAGTCTGCATTACAGTTGTCCCTCGTTCTCTATAGGGGATTGGTTCCAGGACCCCCAAGGATACCAAAATCTGAGGATGCTCAAGCCTCCTATGTAAAGTTTGCATATAATCTACACACAGCCTCCTGTATAATTTAAATCCTCTCTAGGTTGCTTATAATACTTAGTACAATGTAAATACTATGTGATAGTTGTTATGTTATATATTTTTTGTATTATATTTTATTGTCACGTGATTATTTACTGTTTTCTGAATATTTTCAATCCGGAGTTGGTTGAAGCTGGGGAGGAGGGCCGACTGTGTTTTACAGCCTGTCAGTTGTGTCTCATTCAGCAGGAGACTTGTGTTTTACCCTTAGCACAAGTCTCCTTCCTTGCTTATCAGTGGCCTGCTGGAGGTGGCCAGACTGTATTGGAAGCCACTTCTGCTTCTGCTTCCCTTTGGGGACCTTTACAATTGCTTTTAGCAATCCAAGCCCTCACTTCTATTTCCCTCCCCGCAGATAGACTTCACTGCTGACCAGATTGAAGGTGAGTATGGACAACCCCACCTCTCCGTCTCTATTGCATTTTCCTGGAGGACGAGGAGGAGGAGGAGGAAGAAGAAGAGGAGGAGTAGTTGTTGTCCTCATGGTAATAGTAATCACTATCATCATCATAGCAAACCTGTATTGAGCATTTACCATATGTCAGGCACAGTCCTAGGCACTTTATATGGATTCACTCCTTTAATTCTCATAACAACACCATGAGGTAGCAATTGTTACCTCCCCCATGTACAAGTGATAAAACGGAGACACATAGAGATGGGGTGACTTGCCCAGTCTCACATGGCGGTCAGCAGTAAAGCTCAGGTTCAAACTCAGGCAATCTGATTCCAGATCTGTTTTCTCAACTACCCCGCCAGACTGCTTGGAGCACAGCAGATGCTTAACAAAAGTTAGTGCCTTTTTTCCTCCACTCCAAAGATCTATCTAAGATATTTGGAAGCCCTCATTTCTGTTCCCATTATTGCAAAGCCCTCCTTAGTTTACTAGCTTCCTCTCCTGCCGCCATGAAGTCTGCCAAGATGCTAACCCACTAATGGTGGCAGGGCCAATGAAATGTTTTATCACGTGATGCTCCATGTCCCCCAGCTGTAAAGCAGGAGACTCACTGTCATTGCAGCGTATCCCTCTGTTTCCCCCACCAAATGCCTCCAGGACATAAAATTATAGGAATTGGAAGGGACCTTGAACAGTCACCTAATCCAGCCCCCTCATTTTAAGCACATACTCTCTTTTAAAAATCAAATGAATATTTGCACATAGTAAAACAAAAAAGCAAACACACACACACACACACACTACTTAAAAGTAAATAATAAAAAATAAAAATCCTTTTTTTCCATGCTGATTCCTCTCCCAAAGACAACCACTGTGAACAGGTGTTTACGTATCCTTTCAGAAAAATATATAATGATACACAAGTTTGTGTGTGTGTATGATGAGTGCATACAATTTATACAAATCAAGCCATGTGATACACACTGTCCACCTTTTATTAAATATATACTTGGATTTAGTAATATACAGTATTTGGATATCTTTTCACAATTAACACAAACAGTTCTTTTTTTTTTTTTTTTTTGAGACAGAGTCTTGCTCTGTCGCCCAGGCTGGAATGCAGTGGCGTGATCTCTGCTCACTGCAACCTCCACCTCCCAGGTTCATGCCATTCTCCTGCCTCAGCCTCCCGAGGAGCTGGGACTACAGGCGCCCGCCACCACACCCGGCTAATTTTTTTGTATTTTTAGTAGAGACGGGATTTCACCATGTTAGCCAGGATGGTCTTGATCTCCTGACCTCATGATCTGCCCACCTCGGCCTCCCAAAGTGCTGGGATTACAGGTGTGAGCCACCACGCCCGGCCACACGAACAGTTCTACTTCATTCGTTTAAATAATTATATAGACTCTCACACATAGATGTAACCTTTTAATTTAATCAGTACTATATTGATAGGCTTTCAGATTGTTTCCAGTTGGAGGATATCAGCTTTCTTTTCCCAGGTGGCCTTCCTAGCAGTGGTTTAAAGGATGGTGCATTTTAAATTATAATGGTTATTGCCAGGTTGCTCTCCAAAAAAGTGACATCAGTTTACCCACAAATACAGCGTGAGAGCTGCCATATGCCTTTTGAAACTAGTGAATTGAGCCTGACTCTGTTTTCATAATACTCTGGATACTCACTTGCAGTCAGCATTAATTTTAACGCATTTTAGTTAAATATATACTTACGTGGATATAGAAACACAAGGACACTAGTGAGGACTGGAAAATCAACTAATGATTTAAAATGTTAATTTCCCAAATGGCCAACTGGAACAGATGGTTGTGTCTTTTCAGGGCTGATGGGGAGGGGGTAACTCATTCTGATCTTTTATCCCTCCGACCTTGAAGACATTTTTCCTTCTGTTGAATCAGAATTGTTTTTCCTTTAATTTTACCCCAGCGATCTTTTCATTTGTTTTTTGGTGAAGATGATAATGGTTTTCTCATGTTGTGGTGGAAAGAACATAATGTGGAATTAGGAGACTTTCGTATTAGCCCTAATTCTTCCACTATTGGCCATGAGATTTCTTTAAATCTTCCACTATTGGCCATTTCACTTCTTTAAATCTTAATTTTCTTATCTACGAAGTGAGGGTATTTGGGTTTCAGTTCAGACATTCTAGTCCATTCAGCATCCTCTAGATATCCTCCATCTATTTGGAGATAGTTTTCGAATCCCTCCTAAGATTTATATTCTCTAGGTGACACGCCCCAATTTATTTTATTTTATTTTATTTTATTTTATTTTATTTTATTTTATTTTATTTTATTTTATTTTATTTTATTTTATGCTATCATTTCATTTTATTTTGAGACAAGGTCTTGCTGTGTCACCTAGGCTGGAGTGCAATGGTGCTATCATAGCTCATCGTAACTTTGAATTCCTGGTTTTAAGCAATCTTTTCACCCCAGTCTCCTGAGTAGCTAGTACTACAGGCATGTACCATTGTTTTTATGTTTTGTAGAGATGGGGGTTTTGCTATGTTGCCCAGACTGGGCTCCAACTCCTGGCCTCAAGCAATCCTCTGGCGTCACACAGTGCTGGGATTATACGCATTAAGTCACTGTGCCTGGTCTCCCAGTTTCTTTTGTGCTTTTTTTTTTTTTTTTTTTCTCATAGGAATTAGCTTCTAACCCTTGACTTCCTTCTCATCCCTCTCCAGATTTCTGTATTCTTTTAGAGAGGGGAGTCACTGCTGTAGTAAGCAGGTGACTACACTACTGCAGAGTATTGAGGAAAGGTCTCTTCTGGACCCTTGAACATCACCTCTAATACCTGAAAATCACACTGGCTTTTTTTTTTTTTTTTTTTTTTTTTTCTAGTTGTAGTCCTAAACATCAGTGTTTGATTTTTTTTATGTGCATACCAGACCCAGCAGGCCAGGCGACAGGTTGGAGCATCAGCAGTTATAACAAGCAGGTGTCCTCCTCTTCCTCCTTCCTCCCCATCATTTCCTTGGTTTCCTTAATAGTTGATCATAAGTCATATCTACATTGGCTTTTAAATGAGGATAATAATACCGATAGCATAAGTTTTTCTCATAAAGATTAATAAAGTGTTCTATGCAAAATTATTTGCTCAGGGCCTGGTTCATGGTAAGTGCTCAAATCATAGGTCATTGTTCTTATTACCCTCCTCTTCAGGTTTCACCCTCTTATTAAGCATCATTACTTTTTTTTTTTTTTTTTTGAGAGACAGAATTTTGCTCTTGTTGCCCAGGCTGGAGTGCAATGGTGTGATCTCTGCTCACCGCAAACTCTGCCTCCCGGCTTCAAGTGATGCTCCTGCTTCAGCCTCCCGAGTAGCTGGGATTACAGGTATGCATCACCAGGCCCAGCTAATTTTGTATTTTTAGTATAGATGGGGTTTCTCCGTGTTCATCAGGCTGGTCTCGAACTCCTAACCTCAGGTGATCCTCCCACTTCGGCCTCCCAAAGTACTGGGATTACAGGCGTGAACCATTGTACCAGGCACATCATTACATTTTCTTTTGACGAGACTTCCTCTTTTGTTAAACTTGACCTCACTCTTCTGAATGAACTAGGAGATCAAAAAGTCTGACTTCAGATTCAACTAACAAATATGTATTTATTGAGCACTGAATTTGTGCCAGACACCATGCTAATTGTTTTAAAAGTAAAAAAGATTAAATCCTGGCCAAGTGCAGTGGCTCACACCTGTAATCTCAGCACTTTGGGAGGCTGAAGCAGGTGGATCACTTGAGGTCATGAGTTTGAGACCAGCCTGGCCAATATGGTGAAACCCCATCTCTACCAAGAGTATAAAAAATTAGTTGGGTGTGGTGGCGGGCACCTGTAATCCCAGCTACTAGGGAGGCTGAGGCAGGAGAATTGCTTGAACCTGGGAGGTGGAGGTTGCAGTAAGCTGAGATTGTGCCACTGCACTCCAGCCCGGGTGACAGAGCAAGACTTTGTCTCCAAAAAAAAATAAAAATAAAAAATAAAAAATAAATAAAAAGATTAAATCCTTAAAACAAGGCTATGAGGGAGGTGTTATTTCCTTTTTACAAAGGAGGAAACCAAGGTTCAGTGAGGTTAAATGATTTGGCCAAGATCACACAGTTAAGTGATCCAAATTAGGATTAAACTCAACAAGATAATACTAGCTGCACTGTTTATGCATTTACTATGTTCTGGACATTGTGTTAAAATTTTTTATACATTATTGTATTTATACACATAGTATATTTACATACATTATTATATTAATTTGAATGTAATTTAAGAAACCTATGATAGCCGGGTGCGGTGACTCACACCTGTAATCCCAGCACTTTGGGAGGCCGATGTGCACGGATCACCTGAGGTTGGGAGTTCGAGACCAACCTGACCAACATGGAGAAACCCCATCTCTGCTAAAAATACAAAATTAGCCTGGCGTGGTGGCGCATGCCTGTAATCCCAGCTACTTGGGAGGCTGAGGCAGGAGAATTGCTTGAATCTGGGAGGCGGAGGTTGTGGTAAGCCGAGATCATGCCATTGCACTCCAGCATGGGCAACAAGAGTGAAACTCCATCTCAAAAAAAAAAAAAAATCTAACTAAAAAGAAACCTATGATGTAGGTACCATTTATATAAAAGGTTTTTAGAGGTTAAATATTTATTTGTCCAAAGTCAAGTAAGCAATGGGAATGAAATTTGAACTCAATTATTCAGTAATGTGAAAGAAATGTGGTTTCATGTCTTTTAAATTCATACAAAGCCTAAGAAAGAGTTGAAAGTTAAGGTCCGGGGAATCTTCTGTGATATGTGGAATGATTTGTAAATAATCCATATGCAGCCTCCAGGGAAGAAGTACTTGGAAAGGATTAAAACTGGCTTTTTTTCCCTAAGTGGTTCATGAATTCTTTTTTGGCTTATACTGTTAATCTGCTTAGTAAACCACTTATTTGTGGGTAGCCTAAGGTAACTTCAATGCCCCTCCCAGGCCAAATTACCTCCACTAATGAACTGGTTGAATCCCAATCAATGAAGAATTGGGCCTAGGTGTGGTGACTCACACCTATCATCCCAGCACTTAAGAGGCCAAGGCAGATGGATCACTTGAGGCCAGGAATTTGAGACCAGCCTGGCCAACATGGTGAAACCCAGTCTCTGCTAAAATACAAAAATTAGCCAGGTGTGGTGGTGGTGGTGGGCGCCTGTAATCCCAGCTACTCAGGAGGCTGAGGCACAGGAATTGCTTGAATCTGGGAGGTGGAGGTTGCAGTTAACCGAGATCACAACACTGCACTCCAGCCTGGGTGACAGAGCGAGACTCTGTCTCGAACAAAAACAAAACAAAAACAAATCAATGAAGAGTTAAGGGTCTTTGAAAAGGGGACCAGGAGTGCCTTCCTTTGGTCTTGCTGCAGGGATATTTGCCCTGCTGCCTTCAAGGAGTCCAGTCCCTATGGTTCTGGGCTGGTAAGTAGGAAACAGAACTAGGAAACAGTTGTAACCACCATTTGTCGATTCCCTTACCATAAGCTGGACATTGCTCGGCGTGCTTTGTGATCCCATCTGCAACCCGCTCAAGTGATCACTGTATCTCCACTTAGAGCTAAGAAAATGAGGGCCCACAGAGGTTTAGTTTGCCCCAGGCCGTATGCCAGTGGATGGCAGAGCTGGGGTGGTCTGACAACTGCCTCATCAGGCCTGGGAGCCGCCTTTCAGCCTGGAACAGGCAGTACTGATAATAGCTGACTTTCCAGCGGTCTTATCACTTTGTAAAATGCTTCCACACACTGCGACCTCCCTTCGCTCTCACAGTGACAGGGCCAGGGAGTGGGGTGGAGTTGTCACTCCCTTGGTGTGCACAGGAAGCTGAGACCCAGCCCAGCTTATCCTGCACTCTGAGGCAGAGCCAAGATGAGAATTTAGGAATCCTCAGTTCCAGGCCAGTGCTATTTTCACTTGTCTGTCATTTCAGCAGTCAGGAACCTCACCTACACCAGAGCAGGATGTGTGGGTGGGAGGGGTGGAAACCAGGGAGATATTTGAATTTTTTTTTTTTTTTTTTGAGATGGAGTCTCACTCTGTCATCCAGGCTAGAGTGCAGTGGTACTATCTTGGCTCACTGCAACCTCTGCCTCCCAAGCTCAAGCGATTCTCGTGCTGCAGCCTCCCAACGTTCGAATTTTATAACAATGAAGCAATAGAAGAGACCCCAGGCCCAGCCCTAGAATGGGTCGTGGAGGCACCAGGCTGCCTCTTGGTTTGGCAGAAGATGAGATGGGGACGGGTTTGAGGAAGGGCCTAGGCTAATGGACAAAGAGAAATATTGGAATATTTTAACAACCACACGCACCTACTATTCAGCTTGGTGGAGGCTGATTGGCCACCAGCCACCACCTTTAATAGGGATTGGGGGGTATGGCTGGGTCTTCTCTTCACAGAGTTCAAAGAGGCCTTTTCATTGTTTGATCGGACCCCAACTGGAGAGATGAAGATCACCTACGGCCAGTGCGGGGATGTACTGCGGGCCCTGGGTCAGAACCCTACCAATGCCGAGGTGCTGCGCGTGCTGGGCAAGCCCAAGCCCGAAGGTCAGTGCGTCTGCATGGCAGACCTCTCCCAGGGTCCAACTTGCAGCTCCTGGGCTCCCTCCTTGTCCAGATTTTCTCTGCCATCTGGGCTCTCTCTTCTCCCGCTTTAGCCCCTCCGGACCAGCCTCCCCTACCCAGCTTACCCTAGTCCCACTTTGAGAATTTTTCTAGACGTCCCGTACTTAAGTGACCCTGGAGGAAGGTAGCCTGGGCTGGTTTCCCTCACGAGGTTGGGAGCTCCTGTGGGGCAGGAGCTACATTCTGTTGCCTCAGTGTCTGAGGAAGGCTGGGTGGGAATCTGGAAATCTGGTAACTGATGGTTCTCACTCCCCAGCCCAGGAGCTCTCAGGAGAGGCATCTGTCACAGTACCCAGTATCCTGTGGTGGCCATCGTGAGCTGTATTACAAATAATTTGTTTCTAATAATGGTTAGAGTACTGACTTTTACAAATTGTTTGATATGAATTAGAGCAGCTTCAAGATTCTTAGCTCTACATGCTGCCTCTTGCATTCATTTGCTTTTCAATAGGTTTTGGTGAGTGAGTGTTTAGAAAGTGGTGCAAACGATTCTTTTGTAGCTCATAAGTGCGATCGTTGAGTGTTCATACTCATGTGTGAGCTGTGCCTCCGTCAGTCCTTGTTACGGCAGATGAAAAGTGGTGCAAGGGCGTGTGTCCCATTTGTAATGTCATCTGTCATGTGTGCCAGTCAAGTTAACAGCTGCTCTAAAACACACACACATGCTTCTCCTCAGTGGTGTTGACATGGGATTTGGGGTGGGGTGAGCCTCTCAGCAAGGGTGGGCCATCTCTGGAGGCTTCCTGGGTCCCATATTGGTTCCCCCCTCCATCCCTTGGTTCTGGCCCTTTCCCCTTCTCCTCTGGCTGAAGATAACCGCGGGGGTGAAGGATGTGGGCAGGAAAGGACCAGAGGGCTAGGAGCCTGCGTCTCAGAAGTCAGAAGCAAGTCCTGGGTGCTTATAAAAGAAGGAAATGCCCACATTTGTGGTATTTAAAAGTAGTTTGCCTCTATTAAATTAAAGCTTTTTAACACACTACCATGTGGGAGAAGTGCGCTGTTCACAAGAGAACTGCGAATTTATAAAAATTATTGATTCAGAGTAGCTTTAAGCAGTGTGCTCTAGTGATGGGACCCCATGCAGAGTGGTGCAAACATTTCTTTTTTCAGTCCTGTCTGTTTACCCCTGTGATTATAGGTCTGTCACATGTCAAGGGTCTAAATTGAGTGTGAGGCCCGGGCTGCGTGGCACTTCGGGCCCCTCACATCCTGCTGCTGCCACCCTCAGCTCCTTTACCTGGTTGGCCACCTGGTGCTCAGAGGTCTGGGTGGAGGGCTCCTTCTTCCTTCCACCCTACTCCTTTCACTGAGAAAAGAAGGCCCCTGAGACTGTCTCCCCAGCCCCCAGTCCCCTGCCTTGCTTGGATGGGCAGCTCTGTGTCCTCCAGGAGCACTAATGGGTATACCACCCAGAAGTGGCTATAGCCCAAGCCCTAGGTGCTGCCAGACTTGGGGTGAGGCCCCCTCTTGACCCTCTGCTCCCCTGAGCACCAGCTCACATTGCTTTCTCTTTCTCTACCCTGCCTGCCTAAAGAGATGAATGTCAAGATGCTGGACTTTGAGACGTTCTTGCCCATCCTGCAGCACATCTCCCGCAACAAGGAGCAGGGCACCTATGAGGACTTTGTGGAGGGCCTTCGTGTCTTTGACAAGGAGAGCAATGGCACAGTCATGGGTGCTGAGCTTCGGCACGTCCTTGCCACCCTGGGTATGCCAGCTGGGTAGAGATGAAGACCAAGTGGGAGGAATGGAGGGGTGGGAGGTGCCAAGGTGACATATACTGGTTGGGTTGGGGGGTGGTATACAAAGGTCTTTGCATCCTGAGGATAATGACCTGATCCAGGCCCTGCCTCCCTGGGCTCTGCAAGAACAACCATCCCCAGTTGGGTTTGTTCAGCAGGTACCAGGGTTTGGGAGAGGAGGGGAGAGCAGGTTGGCAGAGCAGGGGTTACTGCTGAGGCCTGAGAGGTGGGACTCAGGGCTTCTTTCCTTGTCTTTGCCTGAAACACTGAGGCCCTGGCAGCTGTAAGGCAGGGGGGAGACTTCGGAGACTGGGCAAGACCTTAAGACCCTTGACCCCACCCTTCAAAGCATCTGGGGGAGGCTTGGTTTGAACCACTTCCCAGATCCAGGCAGTCTTGAACCTTCAGACTTATGGGGATATTTGGGTATTGCCAGTTCCTCCTTTGCCATCTGTAATTAAGAGTGCACCACCTCCCAAACCCATTGCAGGAGAGAAGATGACTGAGGCTGAAGTGGAGCAGCTGTTAGCTGGGCAAGAGGATGCCAACGGCTGCATCAATTATGAAGGTATTAAGCCACGCCTTGCTTCCCAGGGCAGCCAGGGATGGTAGGGTGGGAACAGCTTGGTGGGGTAGGCCCAGGAACTGGGGAGTGTGTGTCTGATGTGGGCTTTGGTAGACCCCCTATTGGATGTTGTTCTTTTCCATCTTGTGAGTGAACCTCCTAGTGTAATGGTGGGAGCATGGATTTTGCAGCTAGCTCTGTGATATATTAGCTGGTGGACTCGATTAAGTCACTTATTTTCTCTGAGCCTCAGTTTTCCCATCTGAGGGATAGGGGTGTGCTGGCACCTTTCTCAAGGCTGTGGGGATTTATAGCGATAATGTAGTTCATTCCATTTGTGTTGAGAATGAGCACAGAGAGTGGGCACAGAGCAGAGTTTAAATGTTTGCCCTTCTTCCACCTTCTCCCCACCAACCCCCAAATAAGACAGTCTGGAGAAAGGAGAGTGGGAGGGTTGGAAATCAGGCAGTGTGGAGAAGGGACAAGTGGTTTATGGGCCTAGAGGTGCTGAGCCATACGGCAGCTGATTTTCACTTCTTTCCTAGCCTTTGTCAAGCACATCATGTCGGGGTGAAGCAGAGTCTTCCAGGTGAGTGCAGCCTCCACTCCCCGGTCCCTTCTGGGGTCACTTAGGGCCTTAAGAATACCACCACATGCTCTAGAAGGCATCTGCCCCAGCCCTGACCTCTTAAGAGGAAACCACTTGGGATCAGGACGTGAGGACAGCCCTGCTCACTCACCATCTCCTGTCTCCTGCCTGCCCTTGCCTGTTCTCCCTGTCTTGACCCTGTCAGTCACATCCTCTTGCCTCTCCCAGGATCTCTCAAGGCAACACCCTTCCCTCAGGCCTGAGGTCTCCTGTACAGGCTCCTGGGAGTGAGAAAACTAGATCCCAAGTGGAAGAGAGAGTCCCTGGCCTGTGCTCTTGACCCTGTTCTTCCTCGCTTCTTTCCCTAGGTTCTCCCTGTGATCCCCCTGGGTGTGGTAAGGGGCTGGGTATAGGAGGCTGAAATGCCCTTTCCACCTAGCACTTTCTTTCAGGTGCCTGGCCCTTGGCCTTAGCCATACCAGGGTGAGTTAGAGAGAGGCCCCGGATGGTTGAGCTGAGATGGAGTCCTCGACTTATCACCACGCCACTGCCCCAAGGACCTTACAGGCCCTCCCTGTTAATAAACTGCTCCAATACAGCCAGGCTGGGCTCCGGGATTATGACCAGTCTCTGTTTTGTTTGTTTTTTAAAAAACTAATTAACAGATTGAGTTTTTTGTGGTATGTGTGTGATAATGTCACCTGCGGTCTCATGTGTGCTCAGAGAAATGAGTAGCATCTGGGAGCTAGGAGACAAGGACAAAAGCCTGTAGATCTAGAGATATTGGGGTCAGACTCAGGAGAGCAAGCTCTGGAAGGCCAGTAGCTTGAGGAGTTGTCACCTGGAGGAGTTTCATTCCCTTCTGGCTCACCCTCTACCTTATCACACCTCCAGGTGGCAGGCAGAGAGGGGCCAGGCTGAGGCAGGGACTCCTCCTGTGGTCCTTGCTGTTGCTGCTTTTAAACAAAAATTGTTGTAAAATACACATAATATAAAATTTACCTTCTTAACCATTTTTAAGCATACAATTCAGTCGAGTAAGCTATATTCACATTGTCATGTAGTGGTATTAGTCTCTTTTCATGCTGCTGATAAAGACATACCTGAAACTGGGAAGAAAAAGAGGTTTATTGGACTTACAGTTCCACATGGCTGGGGAGGCCTCACAATCATGGTGGAAGGCAAGGAGGAGCAAAGGCACACCTTACACGGATGGCGGCAGGCAAAGAGAGCTTGTGCAGGGAAATTCCTGTTTTAAAAACCATCAGATCTTGTAGACTTATTCACTATCGCGAGAACAGCATGGGAAAAACCTGACCCCATGATTCAGTTACCTCCTACTGGGTCCCTCCCATAACACGTGGGAATTCAAGATGAGATTTGAGTGGGGACACAGCTAAACCATATCAGTAATCAATCTCCAGAACCTTTTCATTTCCACCAGCAGAAACTCCGTACTCATTAAACCACTCCCCATTCCCTCCTTCCCCCAGCCCCTGGCAATCAGCATTCTACTTTCCATTTCTATGAATTTGACCTCTCTAGATAAGTGAAATCAGACAGTGTTTGTCTTTTGTGGCTGGCTTATTTCACTTAGCACAATGTCCTCATGTTCCTTTTTTAAGGTGTAATCATATCCCATTGTATAGATGGACCACGGTTTGGTTTGATTGTTGCTTTTTTAGGTGCCTCTTCCTCTGAGTGCAAAGTTCCCGGTACTTGGTTCAGTCCTGCCTGTTCTGGACATCTCATTTACTCCAGACACAGGATTCCAGCTCAATGCCTTGGAAAGAGTCAGGGTCAGAGGTCATGAACCTCAGGCTGAGAGGGAAGGGGAGTGGGTAGAGGCATGTGGGAAAAGGAGACACCTGAAAACTAGCAATTGGGAAGGAGCAAGATGATGTCATGATGTTAAAGACACACGTATATGAGTAGAAATATTTAAATGGGAGCACAGGGGTCCAGTCATCCCAGAAAGGGAGTCCCTACATCCCTGAGAACTCCCCAAGGTGAAATAAATCCTTCCCATGGCCTATTGCATAACTGTCAAGCATCCAGCCACAGAACTCTGTGGAACATCTATGAATTCAGCCAAGACTGCCTGCCTGTCATGGGAAGCTGAGCACCACAAGCCCAAGTTTGCCCTTCTTAGAATTTATAGTCTCGCTGGGGAGACAAGGCCAAGATCTATGTATATGCCCTTTGTTTCCCAGATTTTCTTTTAGGAAGGGTTTCAGCTTTGGGAGTGATTGGTTGAATCTCAAAATCAGGGATCTTCATACAGTTGAGGAGTTCATTGAATCCAGTGGTTCTCAAACTTTGGTTTAGCCCCATAGCCTTTTGTTCAGACTAAATTTTATAAGGAAGTCAGTGCATGAAGCTGAAGAACACAGCTTCTTTGGCTGAGGAGGAGAGGGCTGGGTTCAGGCTTCTTGGAGCCTCTAACTGGGCTCCTTGGAGCAGAGCCAGTTCACTGATTAGTCAGACTTCCTAAGTGTCGAAATCAGGAAAGCAGATCCTTAAAGGTGAAGTGACTTAATCAAGGTCACAGCTAATGTTGACAAGGTCCCTTGAATTCTACTTTTTCCTCAATTTTCAACACACCATTTTCAACCTGCCTTTGAAATGTTTTCCAAGCTTGGCTCCTAGGACTCTCTTCCTTGTCCCTACCTCTCAGACTGCTCTTATTAACCTCACTTTCTGCTTCTTTTCTTTAAATCACACCCCCAACTTGAGATGCCAACGTTCTCCTTAGCACTGGGACCTTGTCAGGTTTTCCTCCTTCCCTTCTTTTCCTTCTTTTTTAACATTTATTTTAGGCTCAGGGGTACCTGTGCAGGTTTGTTACACAGGTAAATTGCATGTCTCAGGGGTTTGTTGTACAGATTATTTCACCACTCAGGTAAAACACATAGTACCTGATAGGTAGTTTTTTGATCCTCACCCTCCTCCCTGTCTTCTTTCTTTCTTCAGCAAGTATTTATTACCCACTGTATTGATTTGTGAAGAACTGGAGTTAAGGTTCCCAGTGATTTGAAAACTGAAAGTGGTTTCCTTGCTCAAAGTAGGTTACTGTTCACTTAAGCAAGCACATAAGTAACCAGGGATAAACAGGGAATGATCCCCAAATAGCGTAGGGATAACTCCATCTATGTAACATATAGTGTAAGTTTTAAGGAACCAATAAAAGGAGGAACCGGAAGGAAGTGAAGCATTACAAGTATTTTCTCTGGGAGAAGGGCTTTCAGTGAGACCTTAAAGGAAAAGGTGCCCCAAGGTTGGTGCTTAGGCCCAGGGAGAAGAAGAGCATGAACAGAGGTCATGGCTCACTCACTAATTCAACAGATGCCCACTGGGTACCTGCTGTGCACATGGCACTGGCATGAGCCTTGGGGATATACTGAACCACACAGACATGGCCCTTATCCTCATGAAGCTTTCAGTCTAGTGAGAAGACAGACATTAGTTATAATCATGTGACAACATCAGCCAACATTTGTTGAACACAGTATTAAGATTATATTTGGCTGTGCGTATGGAGACCAAAACACAGCGGCTTAAGAGACATGGAGGTGCGTTTCTTCCTCCCATTGCAATCCGGAGATTGGCAGTCCATGGCTGGCACAGCTGGCATGCTCCACATGGGTCCTCAGGGACCCAAGTTCTTTTATCGTACGGCGTCTCAGTGTGTGACCTCTACACATGGTCTAAGACGCTCCTCCGGCTCAGCCATCACTTCCACCGAGGGAATAGTTCAGGAAGCATTTTCTTTTCTTTTTTCTTTTTTTTTGAAATGGAGTCTCACTCTGTGACCCAGGCTGGAGTGCAGTGGCACAATCTCGGCTCACTGCAACCTCTGCCTCCCAGTTCAAGCGATTCTCCTGCCTCAGCCTCTGGAGTAGCTGGGATTACAGGCACACGCCACCACACCTGGCTAATTTTTTGTATTTTTAGCGGAGGTGGGGTTTCACCATGTTGGCCAGGCTGGTCGCAAGCTCCTGACCTCAGGTGATCCACCTGCCTTGGCCTCCCCAAGTGCTGGGATTACAGGTGTGAGCCACCGCACCTGGCCAGGAAGCATTTTCTACTTGACAAACCTCCTTGGGAACCAACTTACTTGCTACCTCCGTGTTTTTGGGCTTGTTTATCTGAAGACAGAAGAGACTCTTGTCCTCCTAGTCATCCTTTCCCCAACCCCGTACTTTGCCCGGCCCATAACGAAGGTTCGGCACTTGCCCCTCCTGGGAAGAGGTATGCATAAAAAGTGACTAAATAAAGTTCACGATTTTCTTCAACTAGACTGACTTCCACTATTTCCTACCAGATCCAGACCACGTACAGTTGACCCTTGAACAGCATGGGCTTGAACTGTGTGGATCCATTTATATACAGATATTTTTCAATAAAATGTACACTGAGTGTGCCTGTCCCTCCTGCGTCTCCTTTCACCTTCACCTCCTCTTCCACCTCTGCCACCCTGGGACCGCAAGACCAACCCTTCCTCCTCCTTAGCCTACTCGACATGAAGATGAGGAAGATGAAGGCCTTGAAAATTATCCACTTCTACTTAGTAGTAAATATATTTTCTTTTCCTTATGATTTTCTTAACATTTTCTTTTCTCCAACTTACTTTATTAAAGAATGCAGTCTATAATATATATATACACAAAATGTATGTTAATTGACTGTTTATGTTTTTGGTAAGGCTTCCAGTCAACAGTAGGCCATTCATAGTTAAGTTTTTGGGGAATCAAAAACTTTTGCACATTTTGGATTGCACGTGGGTTGGTGCCCCCAACCTCCACGTTGTTCATGGGTCAACTGCAGTTTATGGAAATAGGACTGAGCCCACTGGGGGCCCTTCCACCACCCTGAGGGGTTCCTGAATGAGGGCCTGAGAAGGCGGCATCTCAGGCAGGATGAGTGTGAGTAAGTGGGCCAGAAGGAGGAGGGGAAAGGTGTCCCAGCTCTGGGGAAGATTTAAGGGGGGCTCTGGCCTGCAGCCAGCAATGGCACCATCCTGAGGGGATGATGACACATGAGGGGACACAGGGAAGCTCCTTCTCTGGAAAGAGAGTATGGCTGTGTGTTCCCTAAAGGCCAGGCTCTCTGCTCCCTGTGGACAGATGCTGGGGAGAAAGTTGCCCAGAAAGTTGTCAGAGAGAATGGATATCTTCATGGGAATTTCACACTGTCAGAGGAACGAACAGCCAGTGACCTTCAGGAGGGAGGTGGGAAAGGAGCAGAGGAGAGAGGGTATTCAGGGGCCTTCTCTAAGTCTCCTCCCTATCCACTGCCACAGGCCCCTGACAGAGGTCAGAGCCTCTACTACCCCGCAGAGAGAAAATGAACAAAGCAGTCACTAGAGCTAAGATGATCATCAGATGAGGTCCCCTGATGTCAAAGGTGAATTTCAGAGAGATGATAATAAAGAGCATCATCAACTTCCTGAGCACCCACTATGTGCTGGCACTGTGCTAAGCAATTCTATCATTCTCTCATAGCGGTTTAGGAGTTTATGTATTTATTAATTAAAAATAATTATTAATTTAAAAATATATAGGAAGAATAATAACAAACTCGACTCATGATTTTTCTAGTTTCCCCTCTCCAGTTAAAGATT